GGTTTAAGTCCCCATGCCTTCCCTACAGCATTCTTACATGCCCTGAGGCATTTTAGAGCTTTTTTAGTTGTGTGCTCCACATCATTTTATTGTCCAGCATAACATCCTAGATGTTTTTTTTACCTCCTTACTTTCTGTTAGCTGGATATTATTTATTTTAGGTAGTCTTACTTCTACCTTTTTTTTTCTTTGTGAAGATGCAAACATTTATCTTGGCCGGGTTGACACCAAGTCCACTGGACCGGCACCACCCCTCCAGGACTTCTGTCGCATTACTCAACAGATCAGATAGAACATTCTGATATTTTCCATCAATAAGAATAGCGATATCATCCGCATATCCTTGTGCATAAAAGCCTGCAGTGTTTAGTTTTAAGAGCAAGGAGTCCACTACCAAGCACCAGAGTAATGGAGAGAGCAAACCTCCCTGTGGACAATCTCCTCCTGGTTTAATCCACATTAGGGTATTTCATAGTTCAGTTTTAAGAATTCGTGTATCCAACATTTTACCAATCCATTTGGTGACAAGTGGATCTTTTTTTCTTGTCCTTAAGAGTATGCATGATAGTTTTGTAAGGAGTTCTATCGAAGGCACCTTCTATGTCTACAAAGGTACCAATAATTATTTCCTTCTGATTCATTGATTTTTTGATCTTTGACACCAGATTATGTAGTTCAGCTTCGCATGATTTACCAGGTTGGTAAGCGAATTGATTGGAATGTATCTAATTAGCGTTAACTAATTGTTCTCTTATGTGCTTGTCCAAATTCTTCTCCAATGTCTTCATTAGAAAATATGACATGCATATAGGCCTGAAAGACTTAGGATCATCATATGTTCCTTTTCCAGGTTTTGGTATATAGCACAGTTTGGATCCTATCCATTCTGTAGAGAGGTATCCAAACGCTACTCTGCCCCTTAATAGCTCTAGGAGATAGGATTTAATTATAGCAAGTCTTTTTTGAATTAGTATTGGTAGGATATCATCCAAACTTGCCGATTTATAGGGAGATAGTGTATTTACAGCCCATTCCAGTCTGTTTGCTGTAACAATTTTTCTAACCTTCATCCATCCCATGATTAGCTGTATAGCTAGGGAGTGTAGTGTCTCTACAACCCTTTTCCATAGTCTTAAATCCAGGAAAGTGTGCTATTGGCAGTTCTCTCAGGGTTTCCAGCTCATTAGTAGTATGTTTGCCATTGACCCTGAATTTACCCAGTATTCCTTGGTCTTTCTGTTTAGTAAGTATTTTTTTGATCCTACTTGCCATAGGAGTATTATTAATTTCTTGGCAGAAGTTTCTCTAAGACTGTCTTTTGGCTTTCCTCACAGATTTATGATTTTCTGTGAGGGCGGTCCAGTAAACCTCCCAGTTGCCATGTCTTTTTGCGCCATTGAACAACCTTCTTGTGAGTGTTCTTTGCCTCTCTAAGTCCTTGTTCCAACCAGGATACCCTTTTTTTGGATATCTTGGTTTGGACATCATTACTGCTCAGATATGAGTTTCTAACTGCATCTGTTAAAGATGAGTTTAGGCATTCTAGCTTCCAAGTGTTGTTTTTTTGGACAGCATCTGGATGCCTGCTCTAGATATGAGAAGTATTCTTTGCAGTCCGTAGACTTTGGATTCCTATAATGCTATGTAGTTTTAGGATTGTTAGTCCAGTCGAATCTGATATATTTGTGGTCTGAACATGTTTCCTGATCCAATACATGCCAGTTATGCACTTTTGACGTGACCTGACTGGAGGCCAACGTTATATCTATGACCTCTGACCTTTGTTTGTTAAAGAATGTAGGTTTTTTGCCCCTATTTAGTATGTGTAAGTTATTACTAATAATAAAATCTAGCAATATCTCACCTCTAGGATTGTTATTGTTGCTGCCCCATATGATGTTATGGGCATTAGCGTCCAGTCCCATCAGGGTATTTTCATTGTTGGAATTTAGAATTTTTGTGCAGGAACTCCTGACTCGTATGGCAATAGGAGGAGAGAGAATCCCTATTGTACTTTACTTTCCGGTTTACAGTCTTACTCTGGGCTTTGAAACATGTGTTATCATTAGAACTCCCACTCCCAAAATCACCATAACCCCCTCGACCATTACAATTAAAGAAAAAAGTTTTTTTTTTATTTTTGAAATATATATATATATATTTATATATATATATATATATATATATATATATATATATATATATATATATATATATATATTTATATATATATATATATATATATATATATATATATATATATATATATATATATATATTTATATATATATATATATCGCGGCACCGGGATGCAAACTCGTGACTGTTTTATATCAATTCTCTCATAAATCATGTTGCCGGGCAACAGCAGCGCTATACACATACTTTAGCCCATTTGGCCACTCCCCCCCCCCACCACATATATAGATATATATATATATATATATATATATATATATATATATATATATATATTATAATGGGTGATAAATACTCAGGATGCATCCTCCTGTGGGTCATCCTCAGAGTATGGTTCGAGCACTGAAGGCTTTCATGTACTCACAAAAGTTGGCACTATTAAAAATTTTTTTATAATGTCTGTGTCCCGAATATTTATCCCCCATGATATGTAGGACAGTCGACTAGCTTCCTTCAATATATATATATATATATACATATATATATATATATATATATATATATATATATATATATATATATATATATATATATATATATATATATATATATATATATATCTGAATCAGGCGAAGAAACATGTAGGTACATCTGAGATATCCATACATATATTCATATATACACAAACACACATAAAAAAATCTGAATACACTTATAAATACATTTTCACACCCTACATACGTTCATACATCTCTACTTACATGGATATGTCATTTGAATTTTTATTTTATTTTAATAACTGGCTTATTATTTGATTGTATTGTTTTGAAATATTAGCCGAATACAGTTTTGAATTCATAATGATCCCTTGGTTACCTGCTATGTAAATGTCTTCAATTGGCAGATTCCTGAGTGACAATTAACAAATTTAATGTATAACTTTTCTAATTTATTGTAAAGTTATATATGTATATTGTATGATTGTTGTATATTTATATATGTATATGTATACATATTCTAATTTAATGTGTATTTAAAAATATTTTTTTTAAAGTAATATAGTATAGTGCAGAGCACCAAAAGCTCCTTAACATAAATATATGAGATTGTAAAAAGAAGGGTATTTTTTCTTACTTTCAAGATTATTGCACAGTCTACCTGTTTAAACCTAAAAAAAATTTAATATATAGAATTTTAAAAAAAAAGTTTTATTTGATTAATTAATTAATTTTATTTGAAAAAATTTTAATTCAAATATAGAACGTCTTTATTACTGCGATGGATAGTTCCCCTGTTATAAGAGTCAAACCGAAAAAAGTGATCTTCAGGGTGCTTCCTCTTCCCCCCCTCCCCCCCACATCCGCATCACTTCCCTGGAGTGGGCTCTTTTAGTATTTTTTACCTGCTAACTAGCCCGAACAAGGTCCCAAAGTCAAAAATAGTGTCCCTTCCATTTCCTTCTATAATCATTCATTCACTGGGCTACATTGCCAGCAAAACACAAAAGATTCCGTTTGGCAGATTTATTTTTTTTTGTCTGTAGGGATGCTAGTTTTATTTAGAATATATTTCATCAAAAACATAAAATTATGAATGAAAGAGGTTGATTTTTGAAGTAACTAAATCTGCTGGTTAAATGCTACCACATCCAGTTTGAAATTATTTATTTTTTTGTCTCTCTGTGGAAGTTTTATTTAGAAAAGATTTCTTCCATCATTTAATTATTAAAACTATAAACAAAAGGCTGGTATTTGACTAACCTACTTCTACCAGCGAAACGCGACCACTTCCAGTTGGCAAATGTTTTTTTATGGTGTCTGGGTTGACTAGTTTTGTTTAGGATAGGTTTCATCTCTTTTGGAACAAGTCAAAGTTAGAAATAAAAAAGTTTGTTGCTGACCTGTTTGGTTCTCTGAGTGGACTATTTTTATTTAGAAAAGGCTCCAACCATCTTCAAAGACAAAATAAAATAAAATAAGACAAAATTTGGAGAAGAAAAGTTGGTTTTCAACATGCGTACACAGAATGAATACAACCACGTCAGGTTGGCAGATATTGTTTTTTTAACTATGGGGGAGCTAGTTTTGTTCAGAAAATGTTCAAATTAATGATTATTTTTTAAATAACAAAAAGGTTGGTTTTTGACGCGTCTCTGCCGAAAGAATAGAACCACTTCAGGCCAGAGACTTTTTTTTTTTTATTCGTCCGGGTGGATTAGTTTTGTTTAGAAAAGGTTTCATCCACCTTCAAATAAGTCATGATTTGTGGCAAAAAAGTTGGTTTTTGCCGTGTGTCTGCAGAATGGATACAGCCACTTCTGTTGTTTTATATTCTGTAGTATCATTCATAAGTTCTCCAAGTCATATTGTTTTTATTTTTACTATTCATTTGTTTTGAGATTTCTATATCTTCTGTGTATCACTTTACTCAATTACATTGATCATAATTTGATTGTCTAACAATGATCCCATTACCTCAAGACGATTATCCTCCTGTTCTCTTCCCGATCCATGATCTTGCTACTTCGGTAAAACTGACCTCATATTCTCCAGGGGAAAAGATTAAATCACAAGCTGAGTGTGGATAAGGTAGTAGCCAATAGGATATGAGACGTGTACCTATTTTCTCCTGTAATGTAGGATTTATGGAAAACATGAGCTCACTTGAGCAGAGTTGTTTGATCTCTTAAGCTGATTTGTTCTTATTGAGATCATGAGAAGTATTTTATCATGTTACTTATCAGTTACTCAGAGGATGGGGTACTTAGATATTTTAGGCTGATCAATAGTCATTTAATTGAAGTAGATAGTTCATATGTTGCTCAAGATGGAATTTTATCTGTAATTAATTTTTTTTTTCAGGAAAAAAATTTAGAAGTCATCGACAACTTCGAAATATTTTATAACAAAGGAATTGTAAGTATTATATTCTATTTGATTTTAATTAATCATAAAAAAACTAATCAAGGCTTTATTAAACAAAAAGTATTATGCTAAAGGTTATGAACTGTTACAATCTCTATATTAATAATGAAAGTTAATTGTGATAATAGGTTATCTGCAATGCAATAAGTTATCACCACATTCTTCCACTCCTTATTTAAAATCATTGTCTTGGAAGTACCAAGGAGTTTTCATGGTGATGCGATTGCTTTGTTTGAGGTGGGACCTCGGGTAAATCAGCATCTTGAGTTGTAGGTTGAGTTTCGGTCTCCTGGAGTAGGGCCAATTGAAGTTGAGGCTCTGATCTTAGTGATAACTGAAATTGATAGGAGCATATACTCTAGAAAGTGCATCAGCTGCGATGTTTTTTCTTCCTGGTCTATAAATCATGACATATTTATAAGATGAAAGCTCAATCCTCCATCTCATAATTTTCTCATTTTTAATATTTATTGTGCAGTGGTTGTCAAACATGAATGTGACACTTTTTTGGTCTGATATCAGGTGGAAATGTCTGGAGATTAGGAATTGCCTCCATTTTCTCAATGCTTCCACAATAGCGTAAGCTTCTTTCTTGTTATTGGAGTGATGTTCAGATCGTGACAGTGTGTGTGAGAAAAAGTCACAGGGTGGCCTAGCTGCGATAAAGTGGCTAAGATTACAAATTCAATGGCATGGGTTTCTACCATAAAGGAGATAGACTCATCAACCACCATTCGGACAGAGTCTGTGATGTTATTTTTTAAAAGCTCAAAGGCACTAATTGCATCAGAGCTCAATGGGAATGGCCTAGATTGAATTAAAGGTTTAATCTTATCAGAATAATTTTTAATCCATTTAGAGTAGTGTGAAAATAAGCCAAGTACCCACTGTAGAGATGCATTGTTTTTTGGAAAAGGAGAGTGATTAAAACTGTGATTTGTTCTGGATCAGGCTTGATTGATTTGTTAGAGCTCTCATAATCAAAAATTTTAATAGATGGAGAGCGTAATTCACATTTGTCTTGATTCAGTGTGAAATTATATCATCTGGCTGCCTTCAGAAATTTTTCAAGGTTCCTATCATGTTCCTCAACATCTCTTCTACATATGGTGACGTCATCCAGATAAGCAAACGTCCTTGCTAGATGCTCCTCCAGTATTATGTCGTTCATAAACATTTAAAAAGCTGCCACTCTATATGTAACACCAAAAGCTTTCTTCTTGACTTATCCAAAGCCTTTGACTCAGTATACCACAAAATTTTCCTAACCAAGCTTAAAAATATCTCCTTTTCTATTAGTGCCGTTAAATGCTTCCAATCCTTCCTTACCGGTCGTTCCCAGTAGGTTGTAGTCCCTAATAACCCCCCTCCCATCAGGATCTTTACCCTTGTCCAGAGGCATCCCTTAAGGCTCCTCCTTATCTCCCACCCTTTTTTCCATCTACCAATGACCCCCCATCCTTTATCCTTCACTGTCAATACCATCTGTATGCCGACGACGTCCAGATTTATCTCTCCTTCAATCTGACCGATTCTTCTGGTGCCATTCAAAAACTACAGGAAGACATAAACGGAATTTGTGTTTCGCCAAACCGCAATCGGATCACTCTAAACGCCAAGAAAACGAAAGCCATCCTAATCCGATCCCCCTCTCTCCTCAGACACTCCCCAATCTCTTCCTGAACAATTCAGGAGGAGATTGGGGAGTGTCTGAGGAGAGAGGGGGATTGGATTAGGATGGCTTTCGTTTTCTTGGCGTTTAGAGTGATCCGATTGCGGTTTGGCGAAACACAAAGTCCGTTTATGTCTTCCTGTAGTTTTTGAATGGCACCAGAAGAATCAGTCACATTGAAGACTCACTTATCTCATTCCACACCTCCATAAAAAATCTAGGTGTTACTTTTGATCAAACTCTCTTCTGGAAATCACAAATCTCCCGAATTTCAAGTCACAAGTCCCGTCGACTCCCGGTTTTCTCTCTAGTGTCCCCCCATTATGGCTGTCTGGTGTACGGCAGAGTCTCGGGAGAATTCGAAGCCAGATTTAAATGCTTAATGAATTGCGCAATACGTTTTGTTTTCGGAATCTTAAGAGATACGCATATAACCCAGTATTAAACCGAGTTGAAGTGGCTCTATCCATCCAACCACCATATGTACTTCCTTGCTACTTTTCTATATCAGGTCTGTTTCAACTTGAATAAATTTGAAATCATCAATAGAATTACAATGTTCCCTCGATTTGGTGGCAACAGGCTTCTATCCTTTTATGAGTGATGAGAACCAGGATACAGAGGTTTGGTTATGCCAACTAATGCCAAACTACAGATTTTTAATGGCTCCCTAATGATAACCTAAAAGAAGACTGGGATCATTATCGTGTTACTTCTTGTTACGGTTTTTAATTTGAAAATGTTGTAACAGCAACAAACTTGCCGGATGCTCGGTGGAGACAGCAGGGTCTGCAAAAAATAAATAAATAAAATTAATGAAGAGTCAATTAAATATTACTAACTATCTAACAGGCACCACGCTATTTAATTGGTTGAATTTGGAAAATAGCGAAAACCATAAAAATAAATAAATTTAATTAAAAAAAAAAAAAAAAAAAAAAAAAAGATTTTGATGCGGAGTGAGCTACGAACTCGGAACCTATGGGTTTAAAAACATATGTTAATTAACCTCAAAAACCTATCGAACCTTCTTACTCGATTTATATTCATTTTTCCTAATCCCTCGAATAGGGTTTTACAATTCCTTATTAAAACTTTTAAAAAAAACCAATATAATATATACATGAAACGTGAAAACAAACTGAAGAAAAATTAGAAAATAAAACTGGCTATTATTAATACTAATGATGAATTTACTTATTTCTACTGGTTTAAATAACAGTTAAAGGAAATGAAAATTATGAACAAGAAATTAGATTTATAAGAAAACAAAGAAAATAGAAGTAACTTTAATTATCAAAGAAAAGATTATAAAATTCTCATAATTTTAAGGCATTTCTGGAAAAAAAAATTTCACAGCCGCTGAACCAACTCGTAAAATTATTAAATATGAAGGGGAAGGTGTCCTTGACCAGCGCACTGTACAGCGTTGGTTTGAAAAATTGAGCAGTGGAAATGCGACGTTGGAAAGGAAGAAGGGCTCCATGCAGCCATTAATGGATATTGATGAGGTTCTGTAGGAAGCAGTTGAGTCAAATCCATCCACAAGTACTCGCGAACTTGCCAGGGAGTGTGGGGTATTGAAAGAAACTGTTAGTCGTCATCTACTATCTGTGGGGAAGGTGAAAAAAGAGCAGTAGACTGGTCCCTCACGAACTTACTCCTGAGAAATCAGCTAAGAGTTAAAAATTTGTGAAAATTTATTGAAAAACCCTTGCCTGAAAAATTCCTGCCTCATCCACCATATAATCCAGACATCGCACTATCGGATTACTGCTTATTTAGATCCATGGCCCATTTTCTTCAACGAAATTTTTTTTATAATTTTGCAGAAATTGCGGCCCAAGAGTTCTTTGAGAGGAATTGGCTAGCACATGGCTAATGACTGTAGATAATAATGGACTATACTTTAAGTATTAATTGCATTTTATATAAAAAAAATAATGATAGAAATATTTGGTTAAAAAATGGTCATTTTTTTTTTTTTTTTTATATATATACCCAATTATTTGTAATATATACTTTTATGGACATTTTTTTTTTTTTTTTGTAAAGTAATGAAATTCTCATATTATATTATATACTCATATTATACTGATATTAGGTTTCACCGCATTGTATGTCAGCATCATGATAATTCTCATGAACCATCTGCTAAATGTAATTACATTTTTTAGTTAACTGAAAGAGAACGCTGGCAGCTTTTCTTTGTATCCATCCTTACAAAATATTATTTTGAGGTTCATCAATTAGATCATGAATTGATTTTAAATATTCCTTAGTCTTTTCGGTAAAATCTGCCTTAAATAGATAGCGAAATATTGAGAAGAACCGATTTCCTTGTTGTTAAATTGTTGTTTTTTGAATTTAAAAGATTTACCACATCCAGCATACTATCCCGAATAGATTTGCAATTTTTTCAAATTGTTGAAAGACTTAGGTTTAATTTTTGGGCAGGCTACTATTGGACTCTTCCTTCTCTAGTCGGCAGCATATAGGGAATTTTTCTTCCAATGATTAACTTCTTGCTCTTCCATATTGTTATTATCGTACTGAACAGAAATACGAATTTAACACTAAGAGTGGGGAGTGACAGTTAATATTGATAAACAATAGATACCTGTATATTATTTAAATTTTATTCATAAATTCATATGGCTACGGTTGGTGCAAACACTAGTTGGCTGGCAAGCACCCATTTGTTCGACCTGTGGTGCTCCATAAAAGAGCATTTATTACCAAAAATTTCACAGTTGATATCGAGATTTTGGTGTCATTGATTTGTCTGAGATCGATGCTGATCAACTAATTGTTCAACTCAATGCTGGGAACAATCTATTGTTCAGTTGAGTAATTAGTCAATCAGCATCAGTCTCAGACAAATCAATGTTCAAAAGCGGAGCTATTTCTTGAAATAGGAACCAATCAGCATTTTTAATCAGCCATTTATTATGTTTGCTGGGTGAGAAGCATTTATCGAGAGAGTTAATAATGATGGAGAAGTGATTGCTGCCATGTGTGTCATCTAGTGCATACCACAGAGTGGTAGCTTTGCAACTGGGTGCTAGTAATTGTTAAATCTGTTGCTAAAAGTTAGGGTGGACTAAATTGTAGGTGGATCTTTTTATATTTAACATGTTTGATGTAATTTGGAGATGTTATATTTTATTATTTTAATAAAAGAAATAAAGAAAAATAGTAATCATTCACAAAAAAAAAAATTTATAAGTCCAGGGGTATCTTACACTTTATCTCTCTTCCTGGTCTTGTAACTTGTTTTATCAATGTATTTTGGTTCAGGGAATGTTGAATGTTATCT